AAATAATTAAAAAATAATTTAAGAAATTAAATATAACCAACGTAAAAAGTCACAATTAAGATATGAATGGAAAGTTGAGGAATTAAAATGATAATTAAGCTATTTTTGATCAAAATTAACGGCGTTGTTGAATGGGGGGCTTCTTTAGTCCAACAGTAAATTAATGCTTTACGTACACGTGTGAGCCCAAAAAAAAAAAGGAAGGAAGGAAGCAAGGGTATGTGATAAGTTAAGAATGATAGACTTTAATTTATATCTCTATTATATTTTATTATCATTTTATATTTATTTATGAAGTATGATAGTGAGGATATTTTTCCATCTCGTCCTTATCTCCTCTGTGAGTAGTGAATGTATATCAGTGGATGTATGTGTAACTAACTACACATAGCATGTCCCATCAATAAATATTTTCAACCATTCAACGAAGTTATCAATTAATGGAAGTGCATTTTTTTCAAACTAAATTAAAACCCATTGACGTCTCGTTCAGAATGTCTGGGTAAGATCAAAACTATGATTTCAGAAATATTTTTATAGTGTACGAGGTAAATATATGAAAAAATTTGTCTCGATTTATAAAAAAATACTTCTGAAAAGTACTTATTGAGTTTCCCAAACACCCCTTTATTCAAGTCTGAGCAGTTGGGGAAAAGTGTCATACATTAGATAAATTTAGGGTGAGGTTGGCCAAAAGGATAAATTTAGGGTGAGGAAAATCTATACTCGTCTGAAGCTATTTTTAAGTCACTTCCGATATATTTAACATAAACTAAAAAAAACCTCCCCGCTAGGAGAGATGCCCACATTTAGTATCCGACAGTGTCTTGAATAGAATTGCCTCTAATAGGAGGATACTTATGCTTTAGCAAAAAAAAAAAACCTAAGAAAAACCTTAAACTCCATTAACTCTCATTTAAAATTCAACAACTTTACATCTTCATCCTTATTTAATATATATTATGTCTCATGTAATTAAAATCAATATAATAATAAATGAAAGGTAAAATTGTATATCTATATAAAAAATTTCTTTCTATAAACAAGACAAAACCCTATAAATAGGACCAAAGAAATACACGTGAAACACCCACATATACATATATCCACGTAAACTTATTAATGCCTTTTGATTTCTGGATATGAATTGAAAGTTATTTATATAATGTTTAATTTTAAGATTTTGAATCGCCCATTTAGATACTTTCTTCCAGAATTAAATGGACTAGTCTCAATTCTAATACACACGCAGTTTTATCTTGATGAGTAGTGCGTCTACAGCTAGAGACCCATCTTTTATTTCTTCAACTGCAGCACTCTACTGAGAAGACTTGCATATTTTCTGGTGTGCATGGAATCAAAACGCACTATTCTGGTCCAAGTAAAATAATCTTCAACACTTTGTTAATCTTTATGAAAAGCAAGCCCATTAGTGTAGTGAACAGAGAACACGCATTAAGGGGTAAAAAAACAGAGAGAAATTAAAGTTATTAATCAATTCTTAATTTGTCATCGACAAACAATATATCATCGATCATTAACAAACAAACAAACAAAAACCCGATTGATTTTCATAAACTTTTGAGTCAATAAAAAGAACCCTATCTATCAATTGCTTCTTCCAATGGGGAAGCAAGCATGAAGTTGTTCGATAAGAAGGCTAGTTATCTTTCAAATCAAATATATATATATATATATATATATATATATATTTAAGAGATAAAGCAGATGCACTATACAGATAGAAGACGAAACGTTGCATGCATGATTCTTATTAAATTAATAAGCAAAAATTAAAGACATTAAAGACGAAGCTTTCATTGGCTAAATGATTGATTAATGAGTAACACTGAGGCTAGTAATGTTATCTATAACGAGGGAAATGGATATGGATCTTTGACCAGAAAACAACTTTGAAGGAAAGAGGGTGCAATAATGGAGAAGAAGATAGAGAAAATGGGTCAAAACTAAGAAAAGATGTGCTGCTAAAAGGAGTGACAACGCAGTATGATAGATTTTTGTTGGAAAGATAGATGGACGGACGATGGAGAAGACTTCAATTATTTTGTATAGAAAGGATTAATGAAATAAAGAGAGTGAGATCATTTGCTCAAAAGAATTAGAAAAAGAGCATATGGTTCCGCAAGTTTTGTTTGGAAACAAATCAGACCTAAAGTACGCAACATCATTCGCTGATATTTAGTTAAGTGGGAGCTCTTTATGTTGTTTTCGTTATAAAGACCCTTTTCCCTAAAGATGCTGATAAAGAACGGTGTGTACAGCCTTCGTCTTTCTCCTGCCATTGCATGTTTCAACTAAAATGCCTTATTCATTCCAGTTTCTTTGAACAGCCTGAAGAAAGATAATTAATCATCAGTTATCCGATATATGATATGTTCTTTCCGTTCTAAATATAAGATTTGTTTTATAGTGCGATACTCATTATTATACTATAAAATGAATCTCACGTTTAGAACCGGATAGAGTATGTATGTATATATATATTACTAATTAATTCAGATTGGAGTATTATCATCTTCAAGTACAAAGCTTTGATTGCTTCAGTACCGTTCAACTGGATGCACCAATTAAGACTGGAAGGCGAGGTGTCAATTATTGTAAGCTTGATGATATCTTCTGGAAGAAGTTATATCAAATGACTTTAATATAATATTTATTATTTTTTATGGTGCACGCTTAATTTCAATATTTTTCTAGAATTTAAAAACGTCCTAATATACTTGTACCGAAAGAAGTCATAATAATACAGAAGGAAGTGTGTTTGAACTTTGAAGGCGCGCGTTGTTAGACATGCCCCTTAAATGGGGTCAAAATGTCATTTTTGCTCTGCAAGTTGACACAATAATCGAACACGCTTAGCCAAAGGGTTAATTAAACCATTTAATATCTTTGTTTCGGAATGCCAAAAACAGGAGATGGCTGATTTGTCGTTTTACCTCTATTGAGGGCTATTTGGTGGCCACAAAATTAACGAATGAAATTGAATCATGATAATAGAGGGGTGGAAAAAAAAAGAAAAAGAAAAGAGTACAGCTTTTGCGAGATAATCTGGGCCTTGGCCTTTCACAGTGGCTTTAGGTCCAAAAAGAATTACGCCAATAATTCAAATACAGTGGATCATAAATCACCAATCACTGTATAATTTTACTAGAAATATTATAAATAGAGGACATGACTTATCTTAAAATGCATATTTTGCCTGCCTATATTAGTTTGCTGGGATGTTTATTTTTAATATATAACTTGGAGTTTTTTTATCGGGAACTATAATTTGCCATATCAGTGATTATTCCATACATAAAAACTTATACAAGTCTACAGTAGTTTAGAATTTACTCGTGCAAAGCTATATACGTGGTTAGCATTTTGTAGTTGGGGTAAAAATTTTGAGTGATTATTTAATTATCTTGTTACATATTCCTCTTATAACATACGGAATTTTGCTTTAGCATATCTGTGTAACAAGATCGTATCATATCATTATTATTATTTTCTTTTCTTCCATAGTTGACCTCAAGGCGGCTGCCTGTGTTAAACCCTATTGTAGGGTGATAGGCCTTTTATCTTCATATATTCTTATAAGAATCACAGCAATAATAATATTTTATAATACAATTGAAGGCAATTCATGGCACTTATACTTTTGCGTTCGATTCCCACCCACAAATATACCATATAACGCACAACACACACACACATTGTAGAAAAATTCTTGGCTATCACCATCTCTCTCAACTTGCCCATCACTTTGATGAATCACCAAAATATTATTACCTCCTGCGGATGATTAAGTTGTCTAGTCAGCCATTAATCCAATATACGCACCCACATTATCTATTCAATTCCAAGCATTAAATCATCTAACTTAATATATTGCATCAAAGATAGCTATTCTTCCCCCTCCCCCTCCAAACTAATCACAACTTTATTTAACAGAGAAGGCAGTACATACTCCTGATGAAACAAAGGGAAGCACGAAGAAAATTAATTATTCATCCAAAAGAATTATGTCCGGGAGTAACTTCTAATTAAACCGCCCTTAATACTAGAATTTAGGTGGTATTTGACGACATGAAAAAGGCTACAAAACGAGATAAATTTCTTTATATATTTATTATAAAAATATTTTTAAAACTATGATACGGTTTCTATCTAAGCATCTATTTAATTGAATGGTAATAAATGTCAATGTTTAAAAGAATCTATCAGTAACTTTGTTACTTTGTTGTCATTAATTTATTCTAAATATCTATACATGTTCTCAAAATATATCACTTCCTAAACGCCGTCCGTGGCAATACAGTATATAAATAAATAAACAAATAACTCTAGTTTGTGTTCCCACTACCCACCAACACAATGCAGAATAATGATATATGGAATACACATAATGACAGATTCTTTATGGATATATGAACTAAAGTGCCACAGTAATTAAAATAGTGGCACCAATAATCAAAGTGACGTATTAATTTATCCATAATTAGCTCTGTTTCACCAATCAAATCTCCACAACGCAACACATTCAGCTGATCATCAAGCCCTGGGTTGTTTTGGCGGGTATCATCAAATCTAAGATTAACCAGCCAAATTAAACTAAGTGAAATCCACCCCAAATGATCCACTCTCTTGTTGCATCGTGGAATCCATTTATTATAATTAATAACATGCTCATGCACGCCCAACAAATTAGAATCTTCGGAAAGATCCAAGTGCTTATTTCGTGCAACAAGTCGTATGATCGAGTTGGATCATATGGTCAGATTGGCTTCGGCAGAATTGGCCAGACAATATTTTGATGAAGCCAGTAACTGACTTGATGTCGATGTTGTGCATTCCCACGCACGTGTGAGGTATTTTCAAAGCGTGAGATTGGGGAAGGGTTGCTTCAAGAGACTCAGTTAGCCATCAGCTCACCTCACCAGAGAGGCTTATAAATAGGAGGGAGGGGCTAGGCTTTTCATTTGGGAGACAGTAACACGCTTGCTCCTCCTCAAATCTGTGATTTTTTAAGTAATCGATAGTGTTCAAAAGTGAAGAGAAATGGAAGGGAAGGGATGTTGTGTGAGTGTTATTGAGAAGTGTAGGCCGTACATAGCCATGATTTCTCTTCAATTCGGGTATGCCGGCATGAACATCATCACCAAGGTTTCCCTCAACCGAGGTATGAGTCACTATGTTCTTGTCGTTTACCGGCACGCCTTCGCCACCGCCGCCGTTGCTCCCTTCGCTCTTGTTCTTGAGAGGTACTCACTTCTTTCTCGATTCACCATGCTCATATTCCTTCCCTTCTCATTGCTTATTTCTTCCCTCTTTCTTCCTTGTCTCTCTCTCTCTCAGGAAAGTGAGGCCCAAGATCACATTCCTCGTTTTCATGCAAATTCTCGTTCTCGGACTTCTTGGGTTAGTATTTAGTTCCCTATTCCTTCAACTTCATCTCCTGCGTGGAATACAACCCCATCAACTATTCTGCTGCTTATTATCCGCTCCTCTGCTTTTACAGGCCTGTGATTGATCAAAATCTGTACTACGCGGGCTTGAAGTTAACTACCCCAACCTATTCATGTGCTATAAGCAACATGCTCCCCGCACTGACATTTCTCATGGCAGTTATCTGCAGGTACAACAAATACGACAGTTGTCGAAACTATTCTGTTTTTGTTTCTCTTCTGGTTCGATCTCAAATGGTGTAGTGTTGTTTGGTTGCCAGGATGGAGAAGGTAGACTTCAGAAAAGTACGATGTCAGGCGAAGGTGATTGGGACGATAGTCACAGTTACGGGGGCTATGTTAATGACACTGTACAAGGGCCAAGTCATAAACTTTTTCTGGTCTCATTACATGCGTCACCCCAGAGACTATACTCCTTCTACGGCCACTGATTCTGGGGGAAAAGACTGGTTTAAGGGTTCTATTCTGCTCATAATTGCGACCCTTGCCTGGTCTTCTTTCTTCATCCTTCAGGCAGTGACGTTAAGGACATACCCGGCTCAGCTATCCCTCACATCACTGGTGTGTTTCATGGGTACACTGCAATCAATTGCGGTCACGTTTGTGATGGAACATAATCCCTCTGTTTGGAGAATTGGGTGGGACATGAATCTGCTAGCCGCGGCCTATGCGGTAAGCCTTGATATCTCTCTCTCTCTGTTTTTCCCAGGAAACAAGAATCCCATCAATATGTGTTCAAATATGGTGAAACAGGGTATAGTATCGTCAGGCATTGCCTATTACGTTCAGGGGGTTGTGATGCAGAGAAGAGGGCCCGTTTTCGTGACTGCTTTCAGCCCTTTGATGATGATCATTGTAGCTATCATGGGCTCTTTCATCCTGGCCGAAAATATCTACTTTGGAGGGTAAATTCTATACCCTTAACTTTTTTCCCCCAATCTATTATCCCTAGTTACCGCAACTACTGATTGTTAATTAATTTGAGTCGTGAATTGCAGAGTGATAGGGGCTGTGCTGATCGTAGTGGGTCTGTACTCGGTTCTGTGGGGAAAGTACAAGGAGAACAAGGAGAAAGAAGAGGCAGAGACAATCTCAGAGGCAATAAAAGGATGTTCAGAAAATGGAAGGATGGCACAAGTGAAGGAAGATATTGAAGCAAACCCTGTTGAAATGCAAAAGGTTGAAGGCCCTGTGGTTATAGCTATTAGTGTTCCCAAAGCTTAAAGGAGCAGAGACGAGACAGTAAAGAGAATAGCAGAGGGTGCTTCGCATGCGTGAGGGGCAGAGAGAGAGAGATTTCAGGGGACCTTTTTTGCACCTTCAATTTTTGCTGTTCTGACATTTAATTAATAACAGAGTATTGGATATATTATTAAAGCTATTTCTGAGTTAAGTACTGTAGAAGGAAAACACGTTTAGTTTACGAATTTCTGATTAAGGGATCAAATCTGGGAGAAGAAGAAGGGAATAATATGAAAGAAGGGAATCCGTTTTCAGACAATGCGTGGGGTTTAATGATTCGCGTTTGGATTCTCTGCACTGCAAATGAAATTGCCGTCTTGTCTTCTTGTGCTAATTGCTAATGTGGCATTTACGCTCCTGAATTGATCAACAAGCTCGATGTAACGTTCAGGAAGTTGACTTCAATTCTGTGAATAGATGTGAAGTAAAAAAATTCTCCCTTCTATTTTATGCCTGGATGCCTCTTCCACTCTTCACAATGTTACTGTAATTATATTTGATTTTTTAAGAACAATGTCTTCAATATTAATATCCCATGAGAAATTATTGTGTTCTTTTTAAATATCATCTCCATTTATATTATATATGCTAAAACCCACTAATTAAAGTTATTGTAATCCTGCGTATCATGCTTTTTCTCTTTACCATGATTGCACTACTTTACATTATTTTAATAATTTAACCTCTCTCTCTCTCTTTTTTTTTTGTTGGGGAGGGGGTGCCTCTTCGCACTCGCATTCCTTCTCATTATTCTTTGCCATGGTCATTTTATCTTTTGTATTTGGTTATGTTGAATAGTATATCAACTTTGGGCTGATTAGGGTAACTCTTTAAATCTATTTTTTTACATTTACAAAGTTCAAATATTGGATTTTCATTTTTTATTAATGATGTTTATGCAATAAAAATGAACAAAAAAAATAGATTTAATGTATATTACAGAACCAACTCACAACATACAAGGAAAACCTTTAAAAAGTCGCAACTCAGTTGGATCCAATAGATTTTTTTTCCTTTTCTTTTGGATAAATTTCCGATGCATGTGTAATATATATATATATATATATATATATATCAAAATTGACTTCTCTTATTTATTGAATAAAAAAAACCTGACATTTTTCTAGCCAAAGATATCTTGCATGCAAATTACATAATTAAAAAAAAATATTTCTAATTAAAATCACACAATTAATGACGTTATATATGTTATGCGTGCATTGGATGGAATATGTATAATTACGTCACTCCACAGCTTCCAAGTGATGCATGCATGCAACTCTGTTCTATTACACAACTGCCTTGCACTTTCATTTGCAGGCCTCTTTCCCCACACGATGCACTTCCACGTATATTCTCATTTATTTTTAATCATTTTAAGAGCACATATTTTTTTTTTTTAAAAATCCACATAATATAATTTGATTGAAAAGGTAACATTATGTAATTAATTTTTTTTTAAAAAAATATGCATCCCTCATGTTTACACTTACATTTCACTACCCCTATTATTATTGTTGTCGTAATCACCAGTGGAAAATGATAAAGCAGAATCTCTGGCTAGATCGCAACATGTAGGCGTGTTTGGTTGAACCAAGAATCTTAATACAATTCGAAATAAAACTCTTCTTATATACTTATTTTATATATCATAAAATTATTTTTAAAACTATTAGTTTCAAATACCTCCATAGTATTGATATGAGCTAGAGTAAAGCTGATGAGAAAGCAACAATGGGAAGTGACCAAAAAATAAAGTGATGACCAAGTTTTGGCATATTCTGTTTCATTGCGCCAGCTAATGTGTTTATAAACAGGAAAAATTATTATCCGATCCCTCATAAGCAATTTAATAATTAAAATTTTCATAACAAATACATAGTAGCGGTATACAGTGATAAGTTTTGATGTGTGAAATAACATGTTCATACTATTTATTTATTGTAAGACTTTTAAATAATTAAATTATTTAGAAGAAGCTGCATGATAATTTTTTCACATATATATATATATATATATATTTATAGAGGTGTACCCTTACCAGTCACATCCCTGCATATATGTGAGTACCTTGGCGTCAAATATGTGAGGATAGTTAGAAAAATTAAAAGTTATCGCATTTATGGTGCTGGGACAAGAACAGCATGAATCTAGCTTTAAAGAATAGGAATGTCTTTATTAATTTCCTTCTCCACTTAATCCACTTAATGTCTTTATCACTGGATTAACTTTCAATAGTTGAGATTTAAAATTACTATAATATTAAATATAATAAAAAATTGCAGTTGTAAACTACTAACATCAAATTCTAACCACATAATTTTTTAATCTATTTTTACTATCTAATATTTAATATTATAATAACATCTTTATATGATAAATCTCAATAGTTGAAACTTGATATAATGATGCAAACATTCCTCTCTCAATTTTTACTAACTAATAGAAAAAGAACTATGATTAGGCCGATAATAAGAATAGAGGGATGTTTGGTATTAAACAAAAGTACTTTTAAAAAGTATTTTTTATGAATGGAGACAAATCTCTTCACATATTTACTTTTTATACTGTAAAATTACTTTTAAAACTATGGTTTGGTTTCTATCTAAACACTCATTAGATAAGTAATCTTTGCTAGGAAGGGATTTATCAAATCAAACAATATGATGCAGCTTGATTACCCTCCTAGCTACTGTATTCTGTAGGCATAGATATGTATATAAATAGATATCGATTCCTAACAGTGGCATTGAAGTGGAAATCGAGTTAACACCCTATTTTTGTTCTAGTTGCGTGATACCACTATATCCATTATTCTCTGATCGCTCTCTCACTTTCACCAAATCTTAAATATTATATTCCAAACTGACCAATCTGCATCCAAAGTGATAGCAACAGGGAGCTACAACAAAAGCCCTTTATGCTTTATACCCACGTTTATGATGACCACATTATCCATGAGATTACTCTGTGGTTTTATAATATTCTTATTTGTCTTAGATATATGAGTTCGTTAAAAATCTACTCTAATTCTAAATATAATTTTTTAAATTTATTTTCTCTTATAAATAATGAAGGAAGATTTTATATATGGCGACTGTTTCTTTTATAAATGATTTAAAAGATATTTTAAAAAGAAAACATAAATAACTAACATAATTAGTTTGCTTAATTTCTCTAAATTAATTACTTAACACTTAATTTTAGAATAAAAAAGCGGATAATGGGAAACAAATCAATAAAAAGGCATGATTCTATTCTAGGGGGAATCGTCCTAATTATGAAATTGACTAATATCTCAAATTAATCGAAATTTCGAAATATAGCAATTGCCAACTGGCATGCATGTCCTGTATCGACACCAGACCCTCATTGTTTGACTTTGACCCCAAGGCAGAGTTTCTGGGCTAAGAAGGCAGGGCCCAATTTGATACAGAGAAGGCATGCTTTTAGTAGGCCCACCATGGCCCAGACAGGGCTTATTGGGCCAGTGAAAGACGGGGGAAGTAGCATGGGACAGAAAAGGAAATATCTTTAACTGAAAGGTTTAAAAGGAGGGAAACCAACAACGGCTTATCCGCTCTACTTGAGACTCGGGAACGGACTCTGTCATATTTTTGACATATCAATGGCACTGTCTTCCCAAAACGAAGTGAATTTCGAACAGACAGAATTGCCTGAGACTCAAATCGGAAACGAGGGCCTCACAAAACGCATCCTCAAAACAGGACTCTCTTGGCAAACCCCATCTCCTGGGGACCAAGTGCAAGGTACGCACCTGAATACTCAGAGCATCTACCAGTCGTTAAACTCTGAGTTCTTTCTTCTTTTGCTTGGCGTTCAGTTCATTTCAGAGGTCAGGTTCTGAATGGAGCATCCCTTGAATCAAGTCACGACAAAGGGACCCCATTTCGCTTCAACTTAGGCCAATGTAAGTGCTCTGTTACTTTCACTTGTTGCCCACTCATGCCTCCCTTTTGCTTTTCTGTTTTGAATGCAACGTTTGCATTCTTGAGCACGCTTATTGTTTTCTTTCTTTTTCTTACATGACAATCTAATCAAGGACTGTGTTTAAAAAGAAAAAACTTGATATGGTACATTTCAGAAACTTTCTTTCTCAAAATTAGACCACGGTTTCATGATGTCTATAGTGAATGATATTTACAATAATCAGGAACTTTTTTTTTTTAGGGGTCAACTACAGTAATCAGACTCTTGTTTTTAAAACATGCATAAGATGAACAATAACTATTTCAGAAAAGAAAGCTTAACTGTGGGTAAATCTTTTTTTTTTGGGGGGGGGTTGTTAAGTCCTGTGAGAATTTGAATGTTTCAAATGAATAAAATGAATCTATTAAGGTCACTTTTGAAATCTAATAAATGTCATAGTAAATAAAGATAATCAGCACTTACGTACAACTAAATATAAGGAAAACATCTAATCTGTCAATATACATATATTATATATATATCAATTATACTTATCAAAATTATAGCATTAACCACACTATTCAATATTCATTACCAACTACGTACAATTAGTGACGCTAACAAGGTTGGCATTCAAATCATGGTGTCATATGTGAGCAAGTTCTTTGCTTGCAGGTGAAGTTATCAAAGGTTGGGATGAAGGAGTTGCCACCATGAAAAAGGGGGAGAGAGCAGTCTTCAAAATACCACCAAAATTGGCATATGGGGAGAAAGGTTCTCCGCCGTTGGTTCCTCCTAATGCGACTCTCATCTTTGAGATTGAGATGCTGTCTTGGATTACCATCAGGGACTTGACTGGTGATGGAGGAATCCTGAAAAAGATACTCAGGGAGGGAGACGGATGGGAGACTCCTAGAGACGCTGACGAGGTCTTTGGTAATAAAAATGGCAGCTTTCTTCAATATTGATACAGTATATACATAAGACTTCACTCATTAACCCTTCCTTATTATCTGCTCATACTTCTTACTTACAGTGAAATATGAAGCACAGCTAGAGAATGGAATGCTTGCTCATGAGTCTAATGAAGGTGTAGAGTTTAATATAAGTGATGGTAAGTTCAACATGCAGCCTCACTATTTGGTTTGCGAAATTTATCCATATGTGAAATCATAAAATATGTGTGTTTTGGTCAGGCTATCTTTGTCCTGCCATGAGCATAGCATTGAAAACTATGAGAAAGGGGGAGGAAGCAGAGCTCAGTCTAAGATTCTCTTGTAAGTCAACTTTGTTCTACTTCATCTTTCCTTCTTTCACATGTTGTTTGGTGATTCAGACATTCCTTTCCAGATGGCGTGATACAAAATTCAAGTAGAACCAGTGAAACGAATGGCAGTGCCCGAC